AAAGGTGTATACACCTAACTCTGAGATCTTATGGAAAAGGATTAAATTACCAAAAGTGGCTCCCTCTCTCCTCTCTTGGATTTGTGATGGACATTGGCACCAAAAATCATGTACTGGTGAAACAAACTCAAGTTTTAAATTGTGGTAGAAAAAAAATACACACATATGAAATCTACCCTCTTAAATTTTTAAGTGTTCAGTACAGTATTCTTTATAAGCACAATGTTATATAGTTATTTTTATAGGTTTCCGTAAGGAATAGCTGAATGTCTTCTGTGATATCACTTTTATAGAATTTTGATAACAATTGAAACTCTGTATGCGTTGATCAGCAACTCCTCCTTTCTCCCTCGCCCCAGCCTCTGGCAACCACCATTCCTATTTCCGCTTCTATGGCTTTGATTACTATGCATATCTCACATAAGTAGAATCTGAAGCCATCTCACTATAGAACACGTCGGAACACTCACAGCATATATATGTAATGCTCATATATGTAAGAACATATTATTTATTGAAAGAAGCTAAATTCCCACCAGATCTGCCATCAGTGGTTGAATAGTTTGGTGTGACATAGTTATGATTACCAAGCTTGTATTAATACAAAAGAGTAAATATTTATGAGATGTAAAGGTAAAATTTCAAATCAAAATAAATATTTTGAAATTACAGACATAGTATGGAGGAAAAGAAAACAGCTTTTATAGTCAGATGGACATAAATTTGATTCCCAATTTTGTTTCTTAGACAAGTTGCTCTAATCAGCCAAAGTAATATATTGAATCTTTCTAAATTTTACTTTTCTTTCTTTGGAAAATGTCTTTTGTCATGTTTTTATAGAATTTTGATAACAATTGAAATTATTATCATGTATTGCAAAGAGTAGCCAATAAGTCAATAAATTGTAGCTCTTTTATAATTATCAATAATGAATGTGAATTCCACAGATAATGTGTTTTATTACTGCTTAGACTCTGCCTGGGCTGGGTCTCCAGTAAATGATATACAGTAATATAAAAGCTCTGGTCCGTGATTAAAATCATGTTTTGACATGCTTTATGAGCTCTCTTTATATGAATTTTTGATAATATGCTTTCAAAATTATTGGCAGATCTACTCTTTGTCTGTACTTCAAGCTGGGTAATGGAAAATGATTTATACAGTTTTATTGAATTTACAAGGACTAGAGTAAGCCATGCTAATTATTGCTATGTCATTCTTGTAGGCTAGCAGGAACTGAGACAAAACATAAGCCAAACTAAACATAATTAGCATTAAAATGACTCAAGCATGTAATATAATCAAATGGGTCCTGAAGTCTCTTATGTTTTGTCCACAAAAAAGTTTCATGCTTGGTTGCAAGCATTCACTTTAATTGCTTTCCTCCTATTTTTCTGAAATACGGGAGGTGTTTTAGGTACCTATCATATTTCTCAAATAACATTTTTGTTATTGACATTACAACCTACAGTTTCATAAATAATTAATCTGACTTTTATAACCAGGTGATGCTATCTATAAAATCTTACAGGATGAATACCAGGTGCCCATCTCCCTAAAAAGTAATCATTTTTTCTTTCCATATGTATATTATTAAATGTCCATGAGTTTTCTGATCAGTTCATTCTCTTTAGAGTATAAAGTCTTTCTTCTAAGCTCAGTAAATTTGGGTTGAATTTAAAGAACAAATTTACCCTCAAACAGATATTTTTACATGGGAATTCTATCCAATCCCTGTTCATTAGACCTTGGATGAGCAGTGCCATTACTGTAAGAAGAGAGTCTACAAAATTAGAGGGTAGGCAGAAAAAAATATATAGGCAAAGAGAGAAGGAACAAAGTTTTATAAGTAGAACTATAGGGAACGTGGCGGAGACATAAAGAACTTGCGGTAGGGTAAATAATAATAGACGTAAATTAAGATTTTGCTTTGACGGATCAGCCATCTGCTCTTGTGGTCGGAGCTGAGAGGTGCCAGTGAAGCAAAGCTAGTCCTGGATATCTGCTGGGGTTCAGTCCTTCCCATTCTTCACAGTAAGATAACTCCCTCAGTGCATTTCTGTAAGTGAAAGAGAAATCAGGCGGAGTCAGAGGGCTTCCTGGAATCACTGGCTGACTCCAGAAAGCGCAGGCTTCCTTCCGATTTGACCGGGGCTACTGTTTGCAGCAAGTGCGATGCCCTTTGGCTCTATTAGCTGTACATTTTTTGAAAAAATGTGGTTAATCCTCACTTGAGGATATTTTTCAATTGATTTTTAGAGAGAGTGGAAAGGAGGGAGGGAGGGAGGGTGAGAGAGAGAGACAGCGAGAGAGAGAGAACATTGATGTGAGAGAGAGATTGGATGCCTCCCACACCTTGACCAGGGCGGGGAATGAACCTGCAACCCAGCTGAATCCCCTTGACAGGGAATGGAATCCTCCACCCCTCAGTTCCCTGGCTAATACTCTAACCACAGAAAAACACCATCCGGGGATATTAACTGTAAATATATTGAAATACTTCTATTGTGCTTGATTAAAAGCTGGTGACTGGACCCCCAGGTGTCCGTACTATCTGCCTGCTCAGCTCCATCCCTGGGTACTTCTGACTTCCTGAAATGGGGCAAATGAAAGGGTCACGTCTGGTACGACAGGACATTCTGGCATACGGCATGTGTAGCTTCTGTCACATAGGTAACTGTGCCAACGCAGTTATCAAATATGTTGGCTATTCCCCTTGGGGAATAGATGTTAATTCTGGACTTTTGAAAGAAAAGGGACTTCAACATTAAAGAAAGACTGAAACGGTCTCTGATAAGTAAGAATGGGACTTAAAGGGACCCAAAGCAGAATTTTTGTCTATCTTAGAGTTTGTGTGAAGTCCATTAAGACAGGTGTGACAATATCATTAAAATAAAGTTAAATTGGAAGCATTTCTCTATTCCTGAACTTAGATTACATATATACTAAGAAAAAAACCCATTTATAATCTTTTCTACTCTTGTGCTGTCAAAACCAGTTACAAATGCAATATGAATCTTTTCTTAAAAAACAAAACAAAACACAAAGATATTGTATTTCCAGTCAGTTTTAAAATCAGTTTTCCCCAACTCATTCCCTGTCACTTTCTGATTCACAAAGAAAAAATCCAGAACTCTTCAAAAAAATCAAATATATGGCTCTATTTGAACTTGATGGGTTCTTTCATAACAAGATCCCTTAGCACATGCTGCCTCTTCTTCCTGGAATATCCATCACCTTTTATTACACCAGTGACCCTTTCAGTTTTCAAAGTTCATATAGAATGACATCTTCAATGCATATTCTCTGCATATGTGATGTTTCACCTAATGTAGGCATCTACAATTTTATGCCAAATGACTTATTTTAGATGAACTTATTTTTATAATTTTTCTAAACCTTAAAAAGGGAGGAGGTAAATGTGTCTGCCATTGTAATATACTTGTCACACTCCATGAAAAGAATATTGCTCCTAAAATATTTTAAAAGAAGATAATTACCTAAATGAGGAACCAGACTGATCTACCTCAGTGTTCTAAACAGTGAGTTTTAAGTGACTTTGGAGTGAAAAATCCTTTTACTTCCTAGTCATTCCTTATTTATAGGTAATTGTGTTGCTCTCTACATCTCCTTACACTTCTGGATGACAGTGAATGAAAAAGCATGCAATTTCTAATTCTGTGACTTGAATTAATCACTTCTCAAGTAAAGTACAGATGTCCTTCTGGAGAATACCATTAAGTTAATTATAATGCACTTAATGATTGCATAGGCCTTGTTTTCCCTTCATAATGCATAAAAGTTAATAGATGTATATGATAGTAATTTTCCTGTCATAAAGCCTCCTTTTACTAATCTCAAAATAGTTTAAATTAACACTTAAAATTTATGTAGTATACTTTTATTGAAGAGTAAAGGGGCCTGTTCTAAAATAGAATGAGGTTAATGAGAAGTGATAAAACTAACAACCGTATTTTAAGTATTTGCTCCTTTAACAAGGATTTTTTATCTTGTATTTTTCTCTTGTATCACAGACATATTATAAGCAAAATACCATCATTTTATGGGGGATAAAATATGATTTATTCTCCCAGCCAACGAACATATAACAAGGAAGTTAACCCACCGATTTGATTAAGTTTATAAAATAATAATACACAGCAAATTCTAAGTTGTAGGTGCTATTTTAAGTTCCTTGGAAAATTATTTGACTTGCATACTAACAAAAACGCTACAAGCAGGTGTCATTAATATACTAATTTTAGTGATGAGAAAACTGAAACACAGAGATAGTAATTGATATGCCCAAGATCACATAATAGTGATTGATATGGGGTCAGAGCCCAGCAGTGTCTGCCCAGCGTCTGCCCAGTTAATCTGAAGGCTGTGCTTCTATATCAGATATAAAAGGACCCCTACCATCAGAAATGATGACTGCAAGAAAAGTTTCTGGATAGCAAGAGGAATTAGAACAGCATTTTGAAGAATAAAAATCTTTGGATTGATAGAGATTATAAGTGTGTGCCAGAGAGGGGAAAGGGAGGCAGCCATAAAGTAATGAGTTACAAGAACATGGAAATAAAAATACAACATATATTCAAGGGATCATAAAGCAGCAGCAAAACTGGATCAGAGATTTTATTGAGAATTTGAAAAAGATGAATATGTTCACAATGCTTTGCTGGATATTAATTTTTGGTACATTATATAATTACATCTATTAAAATTATATTTATTAATCAACTCATTGTCTACATAAATTGATTTTTATATTGACAGTTAACTATATCAGTCTGTTGTTATTCTTGTGATACTTTCTTCTCACTGACCCACCCATTTTACTAAGATATCACAGTGTCAGAAATTTACTTGCTACACAGCGGACTTTAACAAAAATAACTGTATGTACTTTAGACACTAGTAAAAACTTCCAGGTAAGCTTTTCTTAGATAAGAATACTAAATAGAAAAACAGCAGCTCATCCATTGTTTTCTTTTCAGGTAAACCAGTGATGATAGTGACAGAGTATATGGAAAATGGCTCTTTAGATACATTTTTAAAGGTAAGATTTGAGGCATATTTAATTATTCAGTGTTATTTATATATTGATAATGACATTGAAGTTAAAATTGAGCTACTTTAAAGCTGAATTTTAAAATAGATGGAAATACCTGGAGTCAGAATAATTACACTCCAAAAAATTAACTTTGGTTTGAATTTTTTTTCTTTTCAGAAAACTTATACAAATTCAAATTATGTGTGTCTACAGTTTTATATAGTTATATGTTACTTTGCCCGAAAAAGAAAGAAAGGGGAAAGGAAGGAAGGAAAGAAGGAAGAAAAGAGATGAAAGGAAGGAGGAAGGAAGGAAGGAAGGAAGGAAGGAAGGAAGGAAGGAAGGAAGGAAGGAAGGAAGGAAAGGACAAAACAGAAAGTAAACAAAGAAGCTTGTACAAATATCTAACTTTCTCAAAGTACATATTATCAGGCAGAGCTAGGAAAACTGTCTCAAAGCTCCATGCTCATTATCTACAGTAAGGGTTAAATAGACTTACAATCCATCTGGGGCCAGCCTCGGCTTGTGCCCTTGGAGTCCTCATGTGGTAATAGATGATACTGATCCTATATTGTTCAGTCTGTGAGTCTCAGAAAAAAAATAAGTTTTTAATGTGTAAGTTCTTCAAATTTTAAATGATGTAACACATCTGCAGGCCTGATTAAATCTGTGGGCTGGCAGTTTTTCATCTTCCTTAACCATTATTGCTATGGATTAGGAAAGGTGATGGGAAATGGCATTAATGACAATTATAAGAGAGGTCCGAGCATTGAATATGACATCAGCCCATTGACAAGGCGGCTGCTGTCATATTCCCTTCCGTTCTCCAGATTCTGTTGCCAAATTTCTTATACATGTCTTCTAGTTCTCTAGTCTCGTAAAGTCACATCATCTTCTTCCTTTTTTAAAATAATCATTAGGTGAGCCTTTTTCTGTGTGTGTGTGCAGTAAATTGAGTGCCCCTGAAAAAGACTGCAAGCTTCCAAGAAATGCGAATATCTTCTGGGTCATTCCTCAGCCATTCCCCCCCCCCCCCCATCTGCTGCTGAAGAATCTCCCTCCATCTTCTCTGGCCATTTCTTCTTTTCAACAATATGCCTATCAAGCTAGCTTCCTCTAAAGCACCTCGAAAATGTGCAGTGTTAACCCTAGACAAGCACCAGGCTGCAGTAATGAACACACTCCTCTGATGACTGAGAGTAAAAGAATTGCAATGCAGAGAAGGGCAATTAAATGGGATTTTCCATACGGGCTTTCAAAACCCTGATCTGCTTTGATCAAGGAAAGAAGTGATAAATATCACCAACTTAACTATATATTTCGCAACTTCTTTTGTTCTTCTTCAAGTAGAATATGCATATGAATTTGGGGGTAGTATTAATTTGGGATTGAATGAAAACCCTTTCATACTCGCCCCCCCCCCCCCCAGTGGTTGGTGTTGCAGGACTAATATTGCTACATCGTCTTTACAGAAAAATGATGGGCAATTCACTGTGATTCAGCTGGTTGGCATGCTGAGAGGCATTGCTGCTGGAATGAAGTACCTTTCCGACATGGGCTACGTGCATAGAGACCTCGCTGCTAGAAACATCTTAATCAACAGTAACCTTGTGTGCAAAGTGTCTGACTTTGGACTTTCCAGGGTGCTGGAAGATGATCCTGAGGCAGCCTACACCACAAGGGTAAGTTCTAACAGAATGCATTTCTGACTCCCTAGACTAGAGGCATTTAATATTTAAAGATTTTAAAGGAAATAGCAAAAAGGGCACTTCTCCAACATAGGAAGAGAGAGAAAAGGAGGGGGTGCGGGAATAAAGAAATCCAGATGATGCTCCTTGTTAGAGATCAGAAAATTCATATATTAAACTCAGATAAAAAAGTATTTACCTAATAAGCTCAATAATTTATTTTTTTCCTACCGATACTGAAAATAAAAAAGTTCAAATTTAGATCGAATACAATGTAAAAATCATATAATGTTTTAAATATAAAAAATAAAGAATATCCTATATTAAAAACAATAAATATGTTATCTATACATGTACAATAAATATGAATATATACATCTATAGCATTATGGGGTAGCTTAAACTCTGCACTATCTTCTTTTGTAAAACAAATGCAGAAATAGCTAAACCTATGTTTTAAGGATTCACATGGTATAGAATAAAAGAGCTATTCCTTCAAAAACTTTTAATTTACTAAAATTATATCTGATTTCTTTTTTACATACAATGTAAACTATTAAGCCGTGTCTTTGGAAAATTGGTCACTAAATTATTCTAATTAGCATAAATCAACACCCTTTTCTAGCAATGTAATTGGTTCCTGAATTGATACGTTATATAATTAATAAGTCTTTCTGTGTAATACTGTGAGTACAATGAAATTTTGGGGGCAATCTATGTATTGCACTTCTTTAGTCACATCCTTTATGATAAACTACATTTGTTTAATTCTAAACCTTTACAGTGTCATCAAGTTCAAGATTTAAACTTCTTGTGAAGACAGGAATTTGTCAGTGCATCTTTTTCACACTACAATTTGGTTAACTTTGGTTTCCATACAAAGGAACACTTTAGTCATCTCTTATTTTTGTGATAGATGTGTTACACATTTTCTTATTTAAGTCACCTTTTTAAAAATCACTTCTACTCATAGCCTAACAATAAATCTAGTTATATATTATAAGGCTTTCTTTTTCAATGTTGTTTTATGTATCGGATCCTTAGAGACTTTATTATGCTAAAGATCACATGCAAATTATATAAGTAAATGGAGTCCTTTAATATGGTCAGCTTGACAAATCAATAAATTAATTGCTGGGATATCACTTCCTCTTTTTCTAGACTTAATTATCTTTGTCATTATTTGCATTAAATGAAACCTCATTCAAGAATCCTCTTGGAATTAGTGTTACACTTAATAAACTTGCCCTAAACAAGATTGAGGTTATAGGAAAATCCATTCCCACTATGACTGCTTGATGACTTAGTTAAATGCATAGAGTAGATTGTCAACGTGTGTCAATGTGTCATGCTGGGGGAAAGGGAGGGCGAGGGAGAGCAGAGATCCTGAGACCTCAAGAATTATTTCTACAAAATGGGTCATATAGGCTGCTTTTGTAAAACGCATATACTGAGAGATACAGAGATAAAGGAACACCAGATAATATTGGTGACAAATGTGATGGTCAGAGGATCAAGAGAAAAATTCTAGGCTGAAGTTTGAAGAAATCCACAAACTATAATTTTAAGAGGTATAATAATAATATGTTATGGAATGTCGCAAAACAAATTGCCAGAACTAATTGTATGACCACACCTATGGATATTTAACTCACAAAAGTATGTTTGGGGAAAGTCTTCTTAAAGTGGTGTTACCATATTTCCAAGGAGAAAATAATTCAAACTTATTTTGAATAATTCAAATTAACTGCAACTCAGCAGTTTCAAGCATTACATAACATTATTATTTTCTCATGCCTTGAAATTTTGGTTCATAAAGAGTAGTTTAAGTTCCATTTTTCTGCTATTTGAAATACATTATTCCCTTCTTGCAAAATGGGAAGGCATATGCTAGTCATTTTATGAGAAAATATCCAAAACCTCTCTCTCTCTCTCTCTCTCTCTCGTTCAACCCACCATATTGGTTGATTAATTGATTTTTGCTTATAAATAAAATGTTTGGTTGCTTGGGTTGCCTGCTTTTAAAAATTATGAGGAAAAATGTTCACCCTTAAAGGGGAAGGTTAAATGTTTATTTTGTGAACTAAGAGAAAACCTACCACAGCATTTTTTTGCCATGTTAAAAGAATCCCATACATAATAATGTTGTAAGTTTTTCCCCATCATCTAATTTTAATGATTTTTAAAATGGTTGAATTAAATAAAAAACCTACTTCTTAGGCTAAAACAAACAAACAAAAAAACCTATCCAAAGAAATAAAAATATGCCAACAGAAAATGAAAGAAATCAAATCTAAAAGAAATTGCATAATATTATGAAAAAGTATAACTAAGCTTTTAATATATCTGATTTTCATGCTTGTCTTATTAGCTATTAAACTTCTCTGTCTTGCATTCAGCAACTGAGACGTTCCACTTACAATTCTCATATTAAAGTAGATAAAAAGCACCCGGGAATCTGAGTCTTTTTTTTACTCAGGTTGAAAATCATGAAAGTCACCGTATTGATTTGCTTGACAGCTTGCTTTCCCCACTGAGAGCTGCCATTCCGGTACGTTAATGGAGATGCGGGCCCTGTGTGCTCCAGTGGCCAAACAGAATTTAAACCAGATCCTTCCAGACAGCCAATTAGCAGTCAGTCTGCAAGTGCTTATGGACCGATATGTGAAAAGAGACTGCATGATGTCAAACAGATTCACTTAAAAATGCTACATCTCTTTCTAGATCTTTTTCAGTGAAGCAGCAATATCCCTAGGTACATTTGAAGTGTGTGAGAATTTTTTAAAATTCTTTTTTACTTGCAGGGAGGCAAAATCCCAATAAGATGGACTGCCCCAGAAGCTATAGCTTTCAGAAAGTTTACCTCTGCTAGTGACGTCTGGAGCTATGGAATCGTGATGTGGGAGGTTGTGTCTTATGGAGAGAGACCCTACTGGGAGATGACCAATCAAGATGTAAGTATGCAGCTAGCCTCACTCAAGTTTGAGATGAAATGCTTAGCTCTCTGTGTCAGGAGACTTATAATAGTTTTCATTTCTGAACACGACAGTTGCTTTAAAAAAAAGAAATACTTTGCTTACCCTCTGATCTACTTTGTTGTTAAAATATCCTTTACGCAGAAGCTCAAAATGAGTTAGCACAAAGGAAAGTAAGTCACTATTACATAAAAGCTCAGTCCCTTGCCAGTTTTAGCTGTATTGTGGTGCTATTCCTCTCACTTAATGTCAGTATCATTTTCAAAGATAAAGAAAGAGCCATCAAAGAATGAGTACTGACAGGTAAGGTTTTATGATTTGCATTTGATGGAGGCAGCCAATACTCTAGTGCAAAAGGATGAATGATACTGACTTCATTCTGGATGCTGTTAGAGGATAAAAAGGGAACAATATATGTTTTTAAATTAAAACATGTAGGAAGAGTTGTATTGTCTATTTAATTTAGGGGGAAAATAGGCTTTCCCCACATGGAAAAAAATAAGTCATGCTTAGAATGATAGAATCCTAGAATTAAAGGAACCATGAAAAAATCTTCTATTCAAGTTCAGAATGCTTATTACATGATACCTCACACATGACTTTTTTAGTCTTTGCTTTTATAATTTTTCATTGTTACTATTCCATACAGCCCTTTCCATTTTGGATCACTTTTACATTTTATGTATTTCCTGTCTAATAACAATAACAATTATAAAAGCAGCTAACATTTTTGAGGCCTTACTATGTGCCATATACTGCCTTAAGTGCTTTACCAACTAATATCGTATTACTTGTTTATAAAAACAGTGTATTGAAGTCTTACCTCAATAGCATGCTTTAAAACATTCTTCTGTAATTATTTCTTTCATCCGTACTCTATAAACTCTCTCTCTCTTATGCCTTCTAGGGTTATTAGTCAGGTACTATCTTTCAAGCCTAATTTTGTTGAAGCAACAGTCTTATGCCAGTGATTAAGACCCACTTTCAGATATAAAAGTTCAAGTCCAGTCTAAATGAAAGTCAATACCATATCCATTTCGAAGTGTTTTCCAGTGTGACCCTCGGTATCTAGATTGTAAAGGAAGACTGGTCAGATTTTTGCTCTTCCTCCTCCTCTGCCAAAGACTGTGTCTGGACTTTTCAGGATCTTCCTAGGTAGAGAGGTAGACGGGAAGGGGCGATGATGTTTCTCCAATGTTGGGCTGTTGATGCCTCCTGCCCAGCAGTAACCCAGACATTGTTTTTGTTGAGATTCATGTCTGAGTTCTTCCAGAGGCCCTTGATGAGGACCTCCTCTCTGCAAGGTGTTAGAGAGGATGTACTGAGCTCCTAGAACCTCTCACTTGCACCAGCTCCACACTCCACAGTCTTTCACTGCACCATACACATGCCTACTAAGCCTGATGAATGTTGGATTCTCGACCAGTGCTTCCTGTTTTGGATACTACTGCAGGCTTTCTCAGCCAGCCTGCCTTCTTCCAATTTCTTCAGGTGAGAAGCTAGGGTCACACTTCAGCTTTCCCAAGGATTACAGTTGACCTTTTAACAATGCAGGCCTAAGGGGCCAAACACCACAGAGTTAAAAATCTGCATAGAACTTTTGACTGCTCTAAAACAACTCACAGCCTACCAGTTGACTAGAATTCAATAACATAAATAGTCAATTAACACCTATTTTGCATGTTATAGGTATTATGTGCTGTAGACTTAAAATAAGCTACAATAAAGAAAATGTTATTAAGAAAGTCATAAGGAAGAGAGTATACAATAATAGTACTTATTGAGGAAAATTTGCATGTAAGTGGACTCATGCAATTCAAGCCCTTGTCATTCAAGGATCAACTGTATTTCATAGCATTCTTCTCTGATAGCAATAGTAAACTGGGTTGATGGATTCCTGTCTCTTGATAAGTATACAACAAGACATCTAAAATTGCTTTTGCAGTCATCGAAAATTGCTACAATTGTTTTGTTTTTTGTTTTTTTTCCTGCTACACTCACTTGATTTAAGCGGGGACTGCTGACATTTATTTCTCTAAGTTTTGGAGAACACAGTACGGACATCTACTGTGCTCAACTTTCTGATATGAAGGCCAGGACTATGATAAAAGTATCATTGAACTCTCAGTATATATTTAACAAACCAAGAGAGGTATTATTAGTCCTGTTTTGCAGTCAAGGAACTAAGACTTAGAGAGATTAAATGATTTTCTTAAGGTCAAAAATAATAATAAATGTTATACCATAAACTGAACTTGGTTCTCCAAATTTTGTGTACCTAACCATCACGCTGTCTCCAATTGAATCAATGTCTGCTTCCTCCCTTTCATTTCCAACCAGCGATCCTAGATCACCCTTCAATTGAATATAACATATTCAATTCAATATTTAATAATTATTCTGGATTTAGCTAGTCTAGACAAAGGTTAGATCTATTTGCTACTTTCTGTTTTCCAGATAAATGCCAAATGCTAACTTGAGCTACAGAGTACTTTGTTGTTTTGCTTCTATCTTCTTTCAAGGCTCATTTCAATGCCATTGTTTTGTTTAAATGCTGTGAAAGTATTTTATTCTGTCTGCCAACAAGCTTGGTCCTTTCACTAAAGAAAAACATTTGTCTCTTATTTGTTTATTAGTAATGTCTCACAATTCTGATATTTTTAATTCCAATTGTGTCACTCAGAATTATTTGTACTTCCCTACTAGTTGCATAATATTTATGTCACCCACATTATTGACAATTATACCTGAGGTAGTTGTATCTGTCACACATAAAATTACAGACCAAAGTAAAACAAGATGTTAGGTGAATGCTCATAAGTTTTTGCTGATTTTAACTGGGCTTGTTGAAGTTCCTTGGAGTTGGCTGGTATATACATGCAATTCACAGGGACTTCATCTTCCGCTGAAGACCAGCAGGCGAGATTAGATGTGAGCTAATTTGTCAAATGACTGAAGGGCAAAAATGAGTCCATTTGCTCCTCAGCCTAAAACATATCTGCTAAAATCCCATTGGCCAATCCCATAATCAAAGTATGGTACATTACACTGTTCCCTGTGAATGGACAATATAAAGTTACATGGAGAAGGACATAAAAACAAGGAGGTGTGAAGGATTTGGGACATATTTTTTTCCAGATTTCAGCCATTTGAGAGTCTTGATACTTTTCCAGAATATCTGATTTCAAATAATTTAAAAAAACAACAAGGAAATGCTGATGTAATAGTTTCAGGAAGTTATAGAAATAAAAACTAATATTTTGACTCTGGCTGGGTTTTCTGAGCATCTAAATAAGGTTTACAGAAAAATTATTTTACAGTCACAGATCTTTCTAAAATGCCTGCCTTTGAAAGAGTTCCCAATCCAATACATGCTCTGTATTTCCTCAGCAAGTTCACAATCCATAGTGGCATTTAGTTTTTAGATATAGCACTAAGTTTTATATGCCTCAATTTCTATCTAAATGTGCGTCTGGGCAACATGACAGATCTACTCTATTTGAAAATCGTGATTACTTAATATCTCTTTGGGGAAAAATATCAGAGAACAAAGTAGAAGTACTGATTTGGCAGTTTTGAATGATATATTCCATAATCTCTACACTCCAGATACTATCTGATTCAGAAAGGGCTTTGCCACCATGAAAATGTTACATTACCCAGACAGGGAGAATCATCTACATCCATCAAAGAAGACCTCTGGCTGTGTCAGAGGGAGAGGGGAATGCTGCAGTGAGTTTCTTTTGATTTAGGATTGCTTCTGTCATCACAGAGAAAAATCATAGCGATGCATAATAAAAATAAACCAGAATGGCTAAGATGATTTAGGTAAATACCAGACCATGAACTCTCATTCAAGCTTGGGAAGTAAGATAATATCCTGTAGTCAGTAGAAGCTTCTTTATTGATCACAAACATTTTAAATGTCAACATTTTTCAGAACTTCAAACAAAAGCCAAAATAAAAAGAGATTTCATTGCATTGCATTTTTATATTTAGTGACAGTTTTGTTCTCTTGTGTATTTATTGTAAAATATATGACTATATAGATTATATTAAGCACATAGATTACAAAAAGCTTTAATAACTCATTAAGTTATATGTTTTTCAATCTCCTAATGTTAGAATTACATGTGCCTTTTTTGAGGGGAGGGATAGTTTTCTATTACTATTTCTGTTGGCTCCCATCTTACGTATAAGGCAGCAAGAATATTTGCTTCCAAAAGAATATCAACCCACTTTGTATGGGCTATGTCTCTCTTCTTTCTCTTCTTCTTTTGTGTTTTCAGTGATACAGGTGTATAGATATGCTTATATAAATATATGTGATCCTTCTTATATTGTTGGAATAGTTTATGGTAAAGCAAATAGAATATTTTACGGTAACACACAGCATGTTACAATTAGCTAAAGTATGAGGACTTTAGTTCTCATCCAAATACTGTGCATTTCCAAAATTTGACAGTGAGAAAAGTATTAAACTTCTTAGCCTCAGTATAATAATGCCTATATAACAATAAGTGTGTTAGACCAACAAAATGTGGTCTTCTAAGATAACATTGGTCATCTAAGGATAATGTTGCCCTTGGATGCAAGCAATTATTTTAGGAACTGGTAACCACATAAAATTCTGACTCCTTTGGAAAAAGTGATACATATTAGTAAATAACAATCTATAGTCCAAAATTTCTGTACCTTGCTATTTAAAAACAATAATAAAAACAAACAAATATATAGAACTGAAAGTCATTTATCTTGGATTCTATACTGCTTGGTCAGTTTCTATGACTATAAAGGGAATGGACTTGAATAAAAATATTTCTAAGATCTCTTTAATCTCTGGAACTCTAGTGATCTAAGATTGATGAACTAAGAAAAAAAGCACACCCAATATATCTTTAATAACTATTGGCAATAGGAAAAGATCATAGAAGAAATTGGTATATCTGAAACTATTTCTGTAGTATCTGTGATTATTT